ACAACAATGGCAGCTGCAACAAAAAATGGCTGGGCGTTGTGGCAGGTGCCTGTAGTCCAAGCTGCTTGGGAGGCTGAGGCAAGAGAATCGTTTGAATAGGCTCCACTGTCTAAGGAGTTGCTAAACATGAACCTGTGTTCCATATGTTATCCCCATGGCCAATTTAAGTTACATGATTGAGCCCAGAGTCAACTGTGAAAGGACCACGTAAAGGTGGTCACACGGGGAGGTGTGGTGGAATGTGGGGTGGGGTGTAAAACTTCTGCAGTGGGCTAGGGATGGGCAGCCTTTGTTTAACTAGTAGATGACAGGTTGGTTTATCCCCATTTATCACATTTGGTTTTGACATTGGACTCAATTTGATGAACTTTAATGGTTAGGAGTTTGAGACTAGCCTGAGCAACTTAGACCCCATCTCTACAGAGAACCTCCCATCTCAATTTGATGAACAAGTATTTAATGCTGGATGCTGGGGATTCAGAGTAAGGTAGTCTCTAGCTACTCCAGCTTGTGAAATACTCTTGATTTTGAGTTTTAAGAAGAAAACATTTTGGTAAGACTTATTAATGGTTTTGGATAAAAAAGACAGGGACTACTTATAAGAATCTGCATTGGGGTCTGATTTTTTGCATTCAGAAAATGCCAATAGGTCCTTTAAAAAAGGGGTGGGGGTTGCTATGATTTGGGCCTGCAAATCCTGGTGACGACATAATCACCAAGGAAACCAAAAGATGCAGCGCCTGAAAGGCCTCTGAGGGGTTTGTTACTGTTTGGAATCTGACTGGCTTAGAAGAATGGTGTCTGAGACTGGGAGCTGAACACAGAGGCTTGCTGTCTTGCTGAAAGTTCTAGGATCTGGTACTGATTGCTTTGGAAATCTTGGTTTAAATACAAGGGGGAAGTTTGGGGTAATTTCTAAGTTATTGTGAGATCTGGCTCTGTTTATGCTGCTGAAAAACAGGAAATGAGGTCATGCCTTCAAACACATAGTGTGATAATGAACTCTGAGTGTCTGAAAACGGCAACTATGCACTTGATTCTTGCAGGGTCCCCAGGTTGAGTTTGGATTTAATTGCTACTTCCCGTGTGGGTGCCTTTGATAGGTACTAGTAGAGGCACACCTGCCTGAGGTCTCAGAACCTGTGTGATTAGGTTCAGAGTACTGTCCGAGGAGCCACACCTTCAAGTTGAGTCCAGTCTGAGAAAGGTCTCCAGCTCTTAAGCCAGCAGCAAACCACCTGAGAGCACAAGCTTGCACCGTCATGTAAGTGCTGTCAGCAGTGACGACTTACTCTTCTGGGAAACTCTGAAATCACTTAAGTTTAGAATTCGGTACAGCCAGCAAAAGTTTAGTTTGGGTGTACTTCTTTGCAGATGTATAAATGTAGTATTTAGGTTTGAATTTGTAATTTTAATCTTACATATGGAGAATCAAAAGCAGTTGAAAAATAGTTGAAAGAGCTAGAAACAGATTTTCAGTTTTTTACCATGGTAATAATTCTGAGCATTTGGTTTAAGTCACAGGTTGACCAGTGACTGTTGAAAAAGAAAAAATTATTCTCGAATGTTGTGTAGAGAAAGTGGAGATAAATGATTCCTTCCCATGAGCAGGAGAGTAACTTGTCTGCAGAAGTGTGGATTATTTGGGCAGGAGCGGGTGGCTGGATTGGTCAGCTGAGTGTCTTTAACCTTTCCAGTGGCATTGGACAGGAAAGGCTCCTGAGTCCTGCCCTACAGTGGGAGGTGAGGAAGGGGAAGTGTGGGGCAGCCTTGGGCAGTCGGAGCCTGAGCTGTGTGACTCAGCCATTTGAACTTCGGAGCACTTTACGTGAGACATTCCTTAGCCTTTGAGACTTGGCCGATTAGCAAGAATCCGTATTTTGTAGCTGATAAACTAGGGGTTGGTGAGTAGTTAAGTCAGTTATTGAAATCACAGGGCTAGGAGCCAGTCTTATATAATAGAGAAATTACATACTGTAGAACCTCAATATTTGTTTTCTTAGAAAACCATTTAGTAGGTTTAAAGAAAAACTGCTGGGCACAGTGGCTCATGCCTATAATTGTAAAACTTTAGAAAGTGAGGCTCAGTGCCTGTAGCTCAAGCTGCTAAGGCATCAGCCATATACACCAGAGCTTGAGGGTTCTAATCCTGCCCAGGCCTATCAAACAATGACAGCTACAACCAAAACATAGCCGGGTGTTGTGGCGGGCGCCTTTAGTCCCAGCTGCTCAGGAGGCTGAGGCAAGAGAATCGCTTAAGCCCAGGAGTTTGAGGTTGCTGTGAGCTGAGATGCCACAGCACTCTACCCAGAGCTATAGCTTGAGGCTCTGTCTCAAAAAAAAGAAAAAGACAGGAGGATCACTTGAGCTCAGGAGTTTGAGGTTGCAATGGTATGATCACTGTTCACTGCGCTCTAGTCTAGGCAACAGAGAACCTGTCTCAAAAAAATGAAAAATCTATTTGACCTTTGACACCTACAGTGACTCTTTGGGAAGGAGGCTGAGGGTAGGGCCAAGCCCAGCTCTTGCCCCATCAGCCTTTCCCCTTGGGCGGGCTGCAGCATCTAGGACTCATTTTCTCTGCTTGTTGACTGGTTTCGTAGCATTTAGGGAAAGGTCATCATTGGCAGTTTGACAGAAGCTCTGAACCATTTTACCTGGAAGAAAATTATTTGTATGCACTTATGCTCTCTGATATGTTTTCAGGGGATAACCCTGGGATTCCATTTAACTTTCCATTCTAATGATTATAGATTGATTAAGCCTTTTTTCCTTACTCCAGAAAGTTATTTTGGTTATCTGATTCTGATTTGGGGGGGATTATGTGTGAAATAAGTGGGTTTCAGTCAGTGCTGGTTAGGACATGACAAAATGGGCATGTTCTGGAAAGCAGTGTGACAGCATGTGCCAAGATATTTAACAGTGTTCATATTCTTTTTTCTTTTTTTTTTGAGACAGAGCCTCAAGCTATCCCCCTGGGTAGAGTGCCATGGCTTCAGTGCTCACAGCAACCTCCAACTCCTGGGCTCAAGCGAGTCTCCTGCCTCAGCCTCCCAAGTAGCTGGGACCACAGGCGCCTGCCACAACGCCCGGCTAGTTTTTGGTTGCAGCCATTATTGTTGTTTGGTGGGCCCGGGCTGGATTTGAACCTGCCACCTTAGGTGTATGTGGCTGGCGCCTTAGCCGCTTGAGCCGCAGCCGAGCCGAGTGTTCATATTCTTTAGCTTAGCAATTCTCAGAAATCTCTCAAGTTATTTCACAACAGATAAGCTTTTTTTTTTTTTTTTGAGACAGAGCCTCAAGCTGTCACCCTGGGTAGAGTGCTGTAGCATCACAGTTCACAGCAACCTCTAACTCCTGGGCTCAAGTGATTCTCCTGCCTCTGCCTCTCAAGTAGCTGGGACTGCAGACGCCCGCCACAGCGCCCAGCTATTTTTTAGTTGTAGCCATCATTGTTGTTTGGCAGGCCTGGACTGGATTTGAACTCACTGCCTTCAGTGTATGTGGCTGGCACCTATCCACGTGAGCCACAGGCGCCGAGCCACCAAGCTGGTTGTTAAAGTTGTTTGTACTGACATCTTGCATAAGAACACATAAGACAATTATGTGTACGTGCACCAAACTTAGCTTTTAATGACATAAAGGAGTTTTTTTTTTTTGAGACAGAGTCTCACTGTGTTGCCCTTGGTAGAGTGCTGTGGTGTCACAGCTCACAGCAACTTCAAAAACCTTGGGCTTAAGCGATTCTCTTGCCTTAGCCTACCAAGTAGCTGGGACTACAGGCGGCCACCACAGTGCCCAGTTTTTTTTTTGTTGTTGCAGTTGTTTAACTGGCCCGGGCTGGGTTTGAACCCAGACCCTCAGTGTATGTGGGTGGTGCCATAACCACTGTGCTATGGGCGCTGAGCCAAAGGAAATGTTTTTATTAAAATGTATGGAAAATTATGCTATTACTATGTTTTCAAACACTGTAAACATTTTGGAAAGCTTAGAGGGAACTATGTTAAGTTATTGTTCACAGGTAGGATTATAGGCTATTTAATTTTTCTATACTTGTCTGCAGTAACTATTCTAGAATTGGGGAAAATGTGATTTTAGAAAAATTGTAGACTGTGGAGATAGCTTGGTGATGGAGATCTAGGTGACTTGAGATCCTATTTTTCTGTAAGCTAAGAATTGATTTTTTTTCTTTTAACCTGGGTGATTTCTTGAGGCTGGATTTCAGTACAGCCATGGGAGGACTGGTTCCTTGGAAGTGGTGCTAGTGCCCCAGAGTGTCCCGCTGCGCCCACATCCCGTGCTCAGCTCCTCAGGGAGCTCGTGTGCTTCCTCTGGAAAACTGCATCCTGGCTTGGCTTTGCCATGCCACTTTGCTGTTTGGTATGTGTGGTGTTTTTTATTTTTTTGGTCACCCAGGCTGGAGTGTGTCAGTTTAGCTCACAGCAACCTCAAACTCTTAGGCTTAAGCGCTCTTCCTGGGTCAGCTGTGTGGGTAGCTGAAACTACAGGTGCCTACCACCAAATCCAGCTAACTTTTCTATTTTAGTAGAGGCAGGGTCTTGCTCTTGTTTAGGTTGGTCTCAAACTCCTGAGCTCAAGTGCTTCTCCTACCTTGGCCTTGAATAGTGCTGGGATTAGAGGCGTACTTGCCATTTTTTACATTCTGTATACGTCATTTGCCTTCATGGTGACTGGAAGCCCTTCCAGAATGTCCTCAGGCAAGAAGCCGCATGAAAACCTCCAGCCTGGAGCCCACTGGGCCATCTCTGTTTGCACACATTAGTCCTCCTTCCTTTTCTGTCCCTTGTAGGGTAACATGAATCAGAGTGGCCTGATAAGCCGCCCCAGATTGGGAGCGGTGGCTCAGGGAGTATTGTGGAGGTGTGCTGTTTGGAAATAAAGGTCTCTAGGCCCTTCAGTTTTAATTTCAGCCTTAATGCTCTTCCAGAGTTGTTGTATTTGGGAAGTAGAAGTCACATCTGACTAACTTTTCTCTTTAGGGTTCACAGATGGATTCGGTGGAAAAGACGACAAATAGAAGTGAACAAAAATCAAGGTAAATAAAGTCAGCTTTGAAGCAGGTTTATTGGCTTCCTAAGTAGCATCTATCATGAGTCTACTTAGTACGCACAAATAAGCAGGTGCAAGGGAAATAAAAACATTGGGGCAGGAGGAATTTCAAGAGCCCTTAGCAGTGTTTGCTTCACCATAAGGAACATTCCAGAAGCCAGTTTTCTGCTTAATGAAGTGGTCGTAGTCTGGTCTTTAAGCAGCAAGTAGAAAGAATTCTTTGACTACAAAGGGACAGCAGGTTATAATTCTTGCTATGGAATGGGTTGGTATTGGCAGATGGTGGAAAACCAGGGTTTTGCCATAAATTTTCTTATTGTTTGGATTTACGAGCTGTTTACAGCTTCAGAGGAAGCAAAACTGGGGCTGAGCTGCTTATTCAAATAGGTGTGACTTAAGTGTGTGTTTGATAGTATGCTTAAGGATGAGATCAGGATGAGATACCACTGTCCCAATCCTGCAGGTGGGGGTGGGACATGTGAAATGCACAAAGAATGAGACACGGCCCTGCCCTCCACTGAAGGGAGATGGATGGGGCTGTGTGCACAAGACCCAACCTGGTCGCCAGGCTTTGTGTTCACAGTGATTCTGTGTTGACTTGCATTCTCTCCGTCCCTTGTTTTTTAAGTAGAAAGTTTTTAAAAAGCCTCATCCGGAAACAGCCCCAAGAACTGCTGCTGGTCATCGGGACTGGTGTCAGCGCGGCAGTGGCCCCAGGAATCCCTGCCCTTTGCTCGTGGAGAAGCTGCATCGAAGCTGTCATTGAGGCTGCGGAGCAGTTGGAGGTGCTCCACCCAGGGGACGTGGCGGAGTTCCGGAGGAAAGTGACGAAGGACCGGGATCTGCTGGTTGTTGCCCATGACCTGATCCGGAAGATGTCACCTGTAAGTGTCAGGTGCTTCAGGTTTCATGGGGCAGCTTTTGATTCTGGATCAGGTTAGGTGATCATGAACCTGATGTGAAACTTCTGCGAGCCTGTGTTGTGTTCATTTTTTTTCTTTTTTTTTGTCACCCTCGGTAGGGTGCTGTGGTGTCACAGCTCACAGCAACCTCCAACTCTCCAACTCTTGGGCTTAAGCGATTCTCTTGCCTCAGCCTCCTTGGTAGCTGGGAATACAGTACCTGCCACAACACCTGGCTATTTTTTATTTTATTTTAATTTTTTTGAGACAGTCTCAAGTTGTTGCCCTGGGTAGAGTGTTGTGGCATCATAGCTCATAACACTCTCCAACTCTTGGGCTCAAGCAGTCATCTTGCCTCATTTGTTTCTATTTTTAGTAGAGATGGGTTCTCACTTTTGCTCAGGCTGGTCTTGAACCCGTGAGCTCAAGCAATTCACCTACCTTGCCCTCCCAGAGCACTAGGATTACAGGTGTGAGCCACCACACCGGGCCTGTGTTTTCATTTCTCAGCAGAGTTGGGCTGAGGGGCTAAAAAGGTTTCTGTTAGGATGCCATTAATTTTTAGACAGAAGTAATGCCAGGCACAATGTTGCCTCCTAGAGTAGCCCATCTTAAATGGAGCCTGACCACGTGAAGTTGTCTGGAATACTGTCATGCTGCAGTGGGTACCAACTTTGTGACCTAGTGAAGAGGTCTGTGTTAGTAGGTTTTGGTGTAATCAGGGCAGTTGCATCTGTTCAGGTGACATGGGGTTCTTAGAAAACACTTTAAGAGGCTCGGAGCCTATAGCTCAACCGGCTAAGGCGCCAGCCACGTACACCTAAGGTGGCGGGTTCGAATCCCCAGCCTGGATCCGCCAAACAACAATGACGGCTGCAACCAAAAAATAGCCAGGTGTTGTGGCGGGCGCCTGTGGTCCCAGCTACTTGGGAGGCGG